CAGGCAGGAGGCCCTTGCAGCGGTCGGGTGAGAGATTTGGTGGTCAGTGGAGGTGGTGAGGGATGAGGCAGCTGGTCTCTGTGTCCGTCTGTGTCCCCAAGAAGCAGTGAGATGAAATGTTTTATTGTGTGAACTGCCCCTGGACGGAGGGGGGTGGGAATGAGAAGGGAGGTGTGAGGGCTGGAATTGCTGGGACAGCCATTCAGGCCTGACTCTGAGGGAAGGCGGGCAGCATGCTGGATGGCCCAGCAGCCTGAGGAAGGTCTAGCACGGCCATCGGCGCGTCCTCGATCCAGAACCAGCCATCAGAGGAGCCCCATCTCCCAGGACCGGGCCTGCCTTTGTACCTTGGCGCAGTAGGTCCCTGGCCTGGAGCAGCAGGGGAAGTGTGAATCCCAGAGCTGGGCAACTGGGACCCTGGGTCAGTTACTCTCCCTGGAGCTGAGGGTCAGCATCTTTGTGGCCACCACACTTTCCTGGGCGTGACTGGCCTGGACCTATCCCCTCAGCCCAGCTCCAGGATTCCAGAGGCAGAGGTTAAGGGGAGGAGTGACCCTAACTGACCTGTGTGTCACTGGTTCCCCCTCTGCTCCTTCTGCCTACACCCTTTGCTATGGGGGTCAAGCCCTACTTGAGGGGTATCAGGGTTAAAGCAGAAAGTGAGTCTATTGCTGTCATGGAGGTTCCAGCAGACAGAAGATGGAAAATCAGGCCACAGGATCTAGGAAAGAATGTAGGTTAATTAAAGTTTAAAACAGATCTTTCTGCAGTGGTTCCGTGAGTCAGCATCCAGCTCCGGTTGAACGGGACACAGCAAGTGTCCTGCCTGGGGCCGGGCTCTGGGTGGCACCATCGTCCCTGCAGGAGACAGGGGCCCAAGTTTGCTTTCAAGCTTTTGTGCTTTTAGACGACATTGAAATTCATCCCTGCACATCCTTGAGTGCCTGGGAAACGTCCCGATTCAGGCTGAGAATCTGGGCCAGCTGTTCATAAGGACAGCATTTGCTGAATGAAGCTGGCAGCCTGGACAGTGGGTGACTTCTTGGGGGGCAAGAGGAGGTTGAAAGGGGACCGGCTTTCACTGTGAGCTCATCCGTTTGACATCTACTCAGTGCCATGCTGTTGGGTTGTTTTTTTTTTAAAAAATATATCTTTATTGATTTCAGAGAGAGGAAAGGAGATGGAGAGAGAGAGACAGAAACATCAATGATGAGAGTCATTGATGGCTGCAGCCCGCAACCTGGGCATGTGCCCCGACTGGGAATCGAACCCCGATCGCCTGGATCCTAGGTCGACGCTCAACCCCTGAGCCACGCCTGGCCGGGCACCATGCTGTTGTTTTAATTCTCTGAGCACTGGGACCTCCATGCACCTCGGAAGACGACACAGTGGGGCTCCTGGGGAGGTTCCCTGCAGACGGGGATGGCGGGAGGTGGAGGCTGCAGGTACCCGGGCACAGGTGACTCAGGGGCACCCGCAGCACTTGTGGCCTGCCCACACCCTGTCCCCAACGAGAACTGAGGGTCTGTTTGAGCCTGGCCAGGGTGTCTCTGGAGTGGTTGTGGGTGAGGGATGACCATGGCCTGGGTCCTTCTGGGCTGGGCTGTGTTTATGTCTCCTGGGCTCTGAGGCTCCAGGGGTCCCAGACTGTGTTTGCTTTGTCTGTTTTAAGCTCCAGTGTCGATGTTATTGGCTGAATTGTAACCCCTTCCGCCAATGAACAGGTTGGAATCCTAACCCCAGTATCTCAGAATGTGACCTTATTTGGAGACAGTCTTGATAGATGTAATCAAGTTACAAAGAGGTCCCTTGGGTGGGCCCAGATCCAACATGACTGGTGTCCTTATAAGAAGAGGAGATTGGGACACAACATGCCCAGAGGGACGACCATGTGAGGACACAGGGAGGGGATGGCCGGCAGTCCACAAGGCCAGGAGAGAGGCCTTCTAAAGGAGACCTCAGGGACATTCCCCCCCCCCC